CACTTCCAGGGATGGGACATCCACAGCTTCTCTGGGCAACCTGTCCCAGTGATCATTAGATCAATGAATGTCATGTAAGATTTTGGATTTCATCCTGAAATTATGAGAGGAGATGCCCAGGCCCTTCCATGACTTTTGACTACACAATAAAGTGACATTCTTCTTGCAGCTATTACTGCCAATGTTTACCTACAAAGAAGGAACAGATCAACTCATTTAAAGGAAAGTGGATAGTCCAATATGGCGGAAAGAGGATTTTTGCTTTCCTGGAAAGAACAGGTAACATCTTTCCTGAACAGAAAACCTTTTCCACGAGGCTCCCCGTGCTGGCATGCATTTCTCTCTGTGAAGCAATCAGTCATAAACAAGTATATAGGCAGCATCCAGGAACTCAAATGCAGAGATACCAGTAGAGGTGAAAGATCCATCTGTTGTTCTGAACATCAGTCTAACCAAGCTGGACTGCTGAAAGCGCACGCTCATTAGATTCAAGACTCAAACCCACCTGGGTCCATACTGTTGCTACTGCCAGAACCACACAGGACCCTCGCTCAGTTTTGTCATGATCCTTGAGCCGTGTGGATAAGTAGAAGATGCATCAGAGCAGCAATGAAAAATACATTCAGAATGGATTCCTGGCTCTTACTGATCCTACAGCAACTACAGAAATTGGTGTTGTAGTTTATCAAAAACAAGTTCTTTTGGGAAATCCCCATTTTGGGAAAACATCCAAAGGTTTTGGATCTGAGGATTAGATTCGGCTTTGGCTAATGGTTTCCAAAGAGATTTTGTCTGACACCATCATCTAGCAAACTATAGAGACCAGAAAAATTCAGTGTTTCATGTTATAGTACAGTTCTCAGCAAATCAGATACAGAATTCCTACATCAGCTGACATCCAGGCGTTCATCAGCAGTGTTTACTGCTGTACTGTTGTCAGGATCATGATGGCCCTAACTGAGGATAAGAAAACACTTGCTCTGGTAATTTATAGTCCCAAAACATTTAGGTGCAGGTCAGTCCCCAGGAATCCGGTATCTCTGTCCCTCCTTAAACCTTCAGCTCACCCATATGAACTCCTTCACTGCTAAGGACTTCTGCTTGAATGGTTTGTAGATAAGCAGCCACTGAATCAGAACAATGCATATCCGAGGAAAAGGATTGCTGAAGAAAAAGAAGCTGGAACAAAGCAACACAGCAGGGGGTAAGAATACCTTTCCACCTTTCAACCCTTCTTTCTTCAACTGGGAAAGATACGATTTGATCTCTTTCCCACCCAGTCGTGAAAGAACACTTGCAGCTTCCACAGCACCACAGGGCATGTCTACGCTCGCACAGCGGTTGGGATGAGAAGCGTGCTTCCGCAGAAACTCCCCACCGTCCCCACCAACTGCACTTCAGGAGGCATCACAAAGCCTCAGGGAATATGAACTGGATGAAACCAAACATAAAAATGCATTTCAGGAGTGCACACTGCACTCCAGATGTACACAGTAAATCCCTGGCACACTGGACTAGAGTCAGTGTGAAACAAATCCTTCTGAAATACGTAGCATCAAGCCTTCTCCAACAACCATTCTCTGAAAAGCTGCTCCAAGTCATCTGCACTACTTGGCTACAGCAAACACTGACACAGAACACCATCCAGAATGGGAGCTCTCCAAAATGTTCTGTAGAGCCAACGGGGAGGAAGAAGAAGAGCAAAGGCACCAGAGTAGCTCAGTATCAAAAAACTTTTACTGACAGTAACGAGTACATGTTGCTTCAAGCTCAGCTTCTTTCTGCCAGACACTTCCCAGATGCTCAAGGAACACAGAGAGGCAGCCAGGCTAGGTCCAGCCAGACTCTTAACCTGAATGCCAAGATGGTTAACTTCCCAGAAAAGCCATGCTCCAAGAAAACTGAAACAGGCAGCCGATACCTGCAAACATCAACGTTACAGTCGTCTCTTCCGAGGAGGTTCCAGAGATCATGGTTGCTCATGGAATTGGGATTATTTCACTGGGCAGATGCAGCTTTCATTTTGAGAATTCCTCTACAGGAGCTACTAAAATAAAAAGGCTAAGTCAACAAACAGTTGGTAAACATACTCATTTTACATGTGTTTAACTATCCTGAGGAAGAAAAACCAGGCATATTTCCTTACTTGAGGGAAATAAGTCAGGCAAGCAAGATTTGGAGAGACCTTATAGCACCTTCCAGTGCCTGAAGGGGCTACAAGGAAGCTGGGGGGGACTTTTTACAAGGGCCTGTAGTGACAGGACAAGGGGTAACGGGTTTAAATTGAAAGTGGGGAGGTTTAGATTGGATATCAGGAAGAAGTTCTTCCCGGAGAGGGTGGGGAGGCACTGGGACAGGTTGCCCAGAGAAGCTGTGGATGCCCCATCCCTGGGAGTGTTCAAGGCCAGGCTGGATGAGGCTTGGAGCAACCTGGTCTAGTGGAAGGTGTCCCTGCCCATGGCAGGAGGGTTGGAACTGGGTGGTCTGTAAGGTCCCTGGCAACCCCAACCATTCTGTGATTCTGTGATGATTCTATAATTTGTTTGACTGACAGGGGAAAGTGAAGGGGAAAACCCCAATCTATTCTTGAATTTAAAAGAGAGAAAATAGTAAATTTGATTGAAACACTGCTAAACACGTAATGTATTAAACCCTTATCCCAAAGAAAGGGCTCTTTTGAAGCTTTTCTTCCTACTTCACCTATGTGATTTTCTGAAAAACATCTAACAGTTTTGGAAAGACTGCTCAGACAATCTTGGGTAACAAGCCAGAGTTGCCTGTTGATGTCACAGCCCCACACCCCGTTTTTTTTATTAAACTGTACTGAAGGCATATGAATACTCCCATTTCCTTTTCACTGCAAAGCAAGTGTGTTGAACACCAACCCTGTATGTCAGCTGATATGAGTATCAGCAGTGTGAAGACACCTTGAAACTATGATCCATCCTGTGAATCCATGCTTCTCTCTTTGCTAGTCAGAAATAGGAACACGCAGAAGCCAGATCCGTCAGTGAGAAAGGTTTTTCTGTACCCCCATGAGCACTGCGCTAGCTCCTCTTAAGGAAGCTATTGTGATTTGCAGGAATCAACCCACGCTACAAGGTGTCACAGCAAATGCTCTGTGCCAAGTCAGTAAGCAGCAGTAACTGCGCCCTGATTCTCTGTCTTAGCTCCCCTGCAGGCTAATACCGCTGTTAAACACTGACTACAGTTTTGTAAACCTACCTAAATATGCAGGTATAATTGTTCTCTTTCGTAATCTGCTACAGCTACTCTGAAACCAGGGATTATTTTTCAATACACTTACTCTTTTCAGAAGACATCACTTTGGGCCTGTCTACACCGAGTTTGGTTTCCCATCACTTTGTCTCTATCCACTCTGCTCCTCCAGTCTTGATTAACTTTAGAAACTTGGTCACCATCAAATTCTTGCATGGCAGTTGTCTTCTTCCGATCCCTAGCAGACGAATACAGGTCCCAGCACAGATCTGCAGATGCTCAGACCACAACTTCTTGTTTTGCAGAATTAAATAATGTTTTCTGAACCACCTCACTATGATAACTCATATTTAAAACTAAATAGATTTTCTTTAAGAAACAAACAAACTGCACTACAGAGACACACACAGACACCCCGGTTTTACTAATTCAGTCATGTAAGACTGCAATCCCTCATGACAATGCCATGGGCCTACAACAGTTATGAGCTGCCTGCCGGAGTACAGGATGAACCCAATTTACATTACAGTACAGCATTTTCCAACACAGCACCAATTAAGTGCAATGCCAACCTAAATATGGTGGCACAGGTCCTGTAGGGTGTTCATTACCTTTTAACATGTGCTGCTACCCCTGCTTCTGAAGAGGGTGTCTCCTCTTGGCAATCCCCCTTTGCCACACACTCCCCAACAGATGCCACGGCTCACGGGTCCCAGCCTGTGGGTCTGGTGAGGCCCAAGATCAGGAGAGGCCAACACTGTTCGCCCATCACCGAGTTTTCTTGCGGCTCAGTAGCGGGGTTTCATATAGATCTACTTAATCCCATTCTGTCTCTGACCTCAGCATAATTTTTAAACAAGTAACTTGGTAAATTTTACAGAGAGTTCTCTGACTTCTCAACCCAAGATTTCTTTTGCACAGGATGACATCTTTTCATCCAGCATCTTTTCTACAGGAATCCTAGACTTGATGCTGAACTGAAAATCCTGGAGCTCCCTGGTAAACCAAACCAGCAGGTGGAACAGAAGGAGGTGAAGCACACGTGGTTTCTCGCTGAAGCACCTTAGATCTGACTAGCAGGATGGCACAAGTGGCAGGAGTGAAATTCAAGCCCATGCTCAGGATTCTTTGGAGTGACTATCAGAGGCCATCTAGCACAGCAGTCACAGTAAGTTCCAGAGCATGGGCATCTGTACAACACACCGACTCACTTCACACAAACCAGACGCAGACACAGAATTACACTGAGGCTGAAGATGCAATTGGGAGAGGCAGTAGGTTCTCCCTCCAACACCCTGAGCATTTTGGTTTGTAAGCCGGTCCTTTTATTCTGGTTATCCGAGAACACATTCAACCACCCTATCAAAGCTGAATAACCACCAATGGGATGAGTTGTCCATCTGTAACAAGACCACATGCACCTCTAAGGAGGTTCTTGAGAAGATTCCGAAGACTCTGATCACCTCGCCTGTACCTCAGCTTCCTGCTGTGGTCAATGGGAAAACCCAAACCCCCATTTGGGCAACCTTATAGTCTGCTTTTGTAGGATTTCCTTCACAAACTGTGATTGCTTCTGCCCTCCCTCGTTGACTATCCAGACAAGCTCAATGCTTGTCCCACTGGAAATACGGCTTCATGTACATGTTTTAATACAAACACTTCCAATGTTCTACTTGGATTTTCCAAGAAAAAAAGGTTTTGTATCAAACCAAGATGATTAAGAAGATACAAATAACCAAATGGCTGTCCCAGAAAACAAACTGGGAACTACTGGGCAGTTTCTACTGAAATCCCACCAGTCGTCTTATTTCTTGATAGATGGGTGCAGCTAGTTCTTTGGCTTTCTCTGCTCCATCCTCTAAAACCTTTATCAGATGGGATTTGTCTTCCTGGAGTTTCTTGATTTCATTCCTGATGGGTGCAAATTTTTGAATGACTGACTCCGCCACCACCGTTTTGTAGTGCGCAGTGTCGAGACCAGCAGCCTGGCGCAGCACTTCTTTGATGCTAAGCCCGGTTACTGCAGCATGAATGGACACCAGATTGGAGACTCCAGGGCGACCGGCCGGGTCGTAGGTCACTTCAGAGGTAAAGTCAGTCACAGCTTTGCGGAATTTCAGCACTATTTCATCAGGGCTGTCCGCGATGTTAACGGTAGCTAACTTCTGCGGGTCTGACTTGGACATCTTCACTGTTGGGTCTCTGAGGGACTTTATTTTCTTTGTTGTACCTTAAGGAGAAAAAAAAAAAAGGGGAACAAATATGAACACAGAGAGTACCTTATGACAATTGCTAAGAACACTTGGCAGCAGCATAACAAAGTCCTCTGTTTATCCTTGCTTAAAAATGAGTAGTGAGCACCATTCCGTATGCTCCTATTTAGTCCTTATGCCCTCCCTGTCCTTCTAAGCCACTTCGCTCCTCCCATAAACTAAATGAAAACCTGCTCTGTTTCTCCCCTCCTCACTAAGCAAAAACTTCTGCTGGGACAGTTCCTAATATTTTCTGTGGCTACGTACTGATCTTCTCTGAAAACTCTCTCCTCCCTTGTATTCCTGGCCCTGGGGGCAAGTTACCTAGAGGGCAAGGACTGCACATTACCAAAAGGTTATGTAACAGTGGAGAAACAGGTTAAAAACACTGGCGAAAAAGAATCCTAGAACAGTTAATGTCCTTACCTTAGCCAAATCTTCCACCTGAAATCTCTTGGTAATTCTCCTAAATATCAATAAATACAGTTATTAATAAGTTTCCTAACTGAAGGCTAACCAGCTGGAGGGAAAGCACTGTTCAGCTAGGAGAGGTCTGGGTATGGTACAAACTGCTAAGATATATTCATGTACGTGAAATAGAATAGCAGCATTACAGGAATACTGCAAAGTACTTTAACAGTATAAACCCAAAGTGTTTCAGTCTTTCACCAAGAAATCTGATTCATGCAGTACACCTAGTGCCACTAATCTAGAAACTACTCACCCCAATTGTTTTTAGACACCTAACACAGCCAACTAAATTACCTGCACACGCCTCATAGATGGCCGATGTACTCAGTGAAAGGATAAGCGTTCTTTCAGGGTACAGACTGCCCCAGAAGATGCCCTCTTCTGAGTGACCTTTTGGAAGGGTCTGTCTCTTTTCTGTACATTTGAAGGAGTCCGGGTAATCTAACCGCCTACAGCCAGTGAGTCTGAACAGGTCCCTAACTGCTCCGTTCACCTAGGATATTTCATTGGTTTGCATATACTTGTGCACTTATGAAGGTATGCTTTTCATGAGGAAAGTTAAACGTCTTTGGGTCGTGTCCCCCCCGCCCAATGTGAGCTTTTTATTTCCTGGGAAACAGTCTTGCCTGCATCATAGGCTACCCTCAGCCCCTCATTACAGCCCTTAGTGCTTAATTGTTCACTAGAAACTGCAGAGCTTGCAACACCGAGTATTCTCTGAGCTCCACTCTGGGTCTAACACCATTTTTGTCACTGAGGCTTGAAAACTGAGAAAGGTTTATTACTGCCTGTCTTTTCTAAGGTGAGAGCTCCTTGCCCTTTTAGGGGCGAAGGTCTTTGCTGTGCATTCCTCTACATTACTTACAACAAAGATGCAATGCTTCTTCCTTGCCCAATTCTTCACGTTTCTTAACAAACATGCCATTTGTGCCATCTGACTCCTCCTCACCCCCCGGCCTATGACCTTATAGCTCAAAAATGGCTGAGAAGATTTTTCTTCTAAGTCTCCCTCAGTCTAAGATCAAAAATGGAAAGTCTAAGCTCTGTAAGAGACCCTTATTGAAATAGCCAAGTGTACACTGAACACACTGAAAAGATTTTCGAGCACTGTAGCAATAAACCTACAAGCTGTTTAGCACACTTAATGTAAACATCTACCACTGCGACACCGAAGAATTCTGCTTGCTAGAGGTCTCTTGTCTTGTTCCTTAAATGTCTCCTGAACTAGCAACATGGAGCAGAGACCCTACTCTTAAAAGGTCGAATACTTGAAGAGCAAGGCTGACTGGCAGCAGCAGAGTGCATCTGGCCCCCTGGACTAGAATACCAGACGTCGCATACATTCCTCTACCGGGGATTTGTAAAGCCTTATGTCTATCCTGGGAGTTCAATTTCACAGGCTCTATTCTCTTGTTGTCAGTTTTTAATTTTCCACTCCCTTAGCATCAGTTTGCTCCCTTTTCTTGGTCCCTGAAAATATTTCCACAATATTTAAATCCATCTTCAACCTTGAAGTGCAGTTAAGGGGAATTAAAAAAATCCCAAACAAACACAAAACACCCCCCAAAACCAAGACCAGCTCACTTAAAATGGCTTTGGGCACAGGAAAGAATTCTCCGTATTTCTTGTTGAAGTGTTTTGCTATATCTTGAGCTAGTTCCAGGTGCAGGACTTGATCTTCTCCAACGGGAACATGTGTCGACCTTTTAATAAAAGACAGATACAGGAAACTCAGCAAAGCTCTCTGGTTCTGCTGAAAAGTTACTCAAGACTGTCACAGCTTCTGCCATGACTGAGGGCCAGATTGAGCCAAACAGTCCTAGCTAGATATAGATGCTGTGGGAACGAGATCCCAAACTGACTGTATCCCAGGAGGAGTGCTTTTTGTGCTGAACTGAAGCACATCTCCACGGGCAAAACCAGGCCTCTGCAAAAACATACAGGGCAAAGATACCAGTAAGAGCACATCACGGAACTCAGCCCAAGGGAAGGTTTTTGTAGCTTCTCCTGCTGTCCCTTTAGAGATCAAAGAGCATGTGTTAGAGTGTGCGAATAAAGTAAGGAAGAGCTGCAAGGCACAAAGAGCAAGCACCTTGCCTTATCAAGCTCTTGTTGAGAAGTTAGTACTGTGGATTTATCAAGGGAAGGAAAAGAGGGTAATTCTTCCTCATGGGTCACCATTATATAAATATCACACGGGCCAGCGCCTCTACTGCCACAGGTGTTATCATTCATAGATTGGAACCGTTAGGATCAAAGGATTATTTGATCTTCTGTACTGAACTCAATAGCCCGAATGCAGTTCTGGAGGAAAACACAATCTGCACCAGAGGACACAAGGAGCTGAAGAATCCATTACTTCCCCTGGTGATTCTTTCCCACAGTTAATCATACTTGCTAAAAATGTATGATTCTTTTAGATGAGGCAGACTTGAAGTCTTGCCAGCTTCTGATTACTCTCCCTTCCCCCAGCACTTTCTTTTTTTTTTTCCTAAGGCTTACGTGGTATTCAGCTCTGAATCCTGGATATGTTCCAGCATAAGAAAGTTCACTATACATCTTTTAAATTCCCAGAAAATTTCAGTTCAACACGGTATGCCTTCCTTCCGATTCTGAATTACTGGGCTGATATCCAGGAATCAATTTGTCCACCTTTATTCCCCACCAAACAGTCAGCAAGGCAACCTAAAAACAGTGACAGTAGCCAATAGGAAATCACAGCGGCCTGCAACTAACAGAAAGAAAATCAGTTACCATAATCAATATACTTTAAGCAGGTCAAAAGAAATGTTTCCATATGCCAAAATGGTTCCATATTCACAAAGTTTGCTCCTAAACAGAAAACATATTGGCTTTACAAATAATGCCTCTGCACGATTCTTTGCCTTTTTCCTTGCCGTTTTTTCAGTACTTTTGTTCTGGTGCTAGTTTTATTCCTTTCTGTCATATATTTACCTTCTGTCCATTTTCCTGTCTCTGAGCCTTGGTTCGTCTGAATTAGCACTGTTTGTCCCCCTCCTCCCGCTCTCTTAATTCTTCTTCATGACTGCCGTTCCCTTCCTGCGTTTCCATTTCTCCCTGATTCTTGTTCTCCGTATGATGTTTTTACACTAAAACGTTTATTAAAGATATTATGCCAAATTCCTTCAAAGAGATACTATTTCACTTCCCTGCTTTGTGCTCTGTCTGGGCAGCCTGCTGTTAATACACATGGTAGCAAACAAACCACAGGCTTCACCACGGCATAGGAATCACATGATCTTATTAGAAATGGAAGAGACATCTATGGTTCAGCTCAATCAAAACAAGGTGACTTCTGATAAAGTTGTCTAAATTTCACGCTTAAAACAGTTTGACAACCAAATGCTTAGAAGGTTATTCTAATGTTCAAATTCTGACTTTTGCTTCCCATTATTTTCAGTTAAAATTCAAGTGAATCAGACATATCATTTACTGCTCTTCTAACATTACTGTTTTCCCTTATTAATGATCACTTAGGATTAAATTTCTCCAGACAGACTTTTCTGGGTTAACAACTTGCCAATCTTGGTTACTGTGTCCTCCTAAAGCCCCTGCCCTCACAGTTCTGCATTACTTTTCTGACCCCACAAAAACTTCAGAACAATTCCACAAATTACATCTACTCGGAACATAAAACTAATTAATACATAGTGCACCGTCTCTGATATTTACTTCTTGAGACAGTTTAAAACGCATTATGAAATACAGCCAGTCATGACAACGCAGCAGAAGCCCTATCAGCTAGGCTACAAACTCAGGCATGCCCCATCCCCACTCCCTCATTAGGGGCTGTTTCCACTGCAGCACATAGTACACCACAGAGAAAACTGAACTAGCACCACAACGTGCAGTAAGTTATTCTTTCATCAGTATCAACAGGCCTACACAGAATCACACACTAATATGGAGAGACTGTATACAGCCAGCTGAAGTATCTCATCAGTATGTTGATAAAACAAAGCATAACTACTTAAAAAAAAGTATATGTATGTGCGTGAACAGGTAATACGTGTCATGAAACATCAACGTGTTAAAATTCCCTAAGGATTGTTCTGAAGTGACCAGCTTTTTCTCTCTACGGCCCTCTCAGTTGCTTTCAAACCAGACTAGATTTCAACCAGGCACTTGAGAGATAAAAAAGTTGTCATCCATTTCCAATCTTCCGTTCTAATCACACCCAGCTCCCTCGCTTCATAAGTTACCACGCCGACCTGAGGAACATCCATTCTAATGCAACTAATCAGACATCACCCATGGGCTCACATTCCGCCTCTTACTTGTACAGCAAAATATCTGCTGCTTGAAGCACAGGATAGGTCAACAAACCGACAGTTCCTTCGTTATTCTGGCTGGCACGCTTCGCCTGTTTGCAAAGGAAGAACAGAGAGAAATCACCTTGTGGCTAACGGTATCAAAGTCCATGATTTTAATTAATTAGAATTCGGACTAATTTGTATAACTCTAGAGCAAAATGTGCCATGTCGAATCCACTCCCTGTGAATACACACATCCCATTTTATATCCTTTTTTTTCACTCTTCTGGTATCATAGTGAGAAGAAAACATAGGCTTGTGGTTTCCTTCTGTTTGTAATCTTACTAACAAAAATGATTACAGACACAAAATAATCAGGATGGGCTATTACACTTACTATTGATAACCCCTACTTTTTAAATAGCTTTTTCAGCAGTAAATTCATGAAACACTTTGTAACGAGGCATAAAGAGGCATTAATACCTGTGTTTCACAGAAAAGGGATCAAGACATAGTGATCACACCCAGTTACCAGGAGAGTGAGTGACAGGAGGATAACCCAGAACTACAGAGGCAGAGTCCTGTGTTCTCCCCATTAGTTCACACTGCTCCCAACCACCCATCCACTGTCCTGATGTCCCTTACCGCTCTAGGATATGGATCATTTAAACCAAGATAGTCAGGCTACAGATACTCATTCTGTTCTCGCAATGGCATATCTACTTCTTGCTTTTAACAACAAATATGCCAAGATTCTTTAAAAATCTTAATTATTTCATTACGACTATTCAAGTATCTTTAGATTTTTCTCACCCTCTCATACAGATCCCATCTTCTGTCTACATCTCTAAGTGCCTAGGGTGCAGGGGACCTAATGTGCGAAGCCTAGCACCTGTAACACCTATCTGTAGATTTGGAAAGTCAATCCAGTCGAAGTTGGATTTAAGAGCTTAACTTTAGAACCTCTGGTTTGAAAAGGTTGGCTTTAATCTATGCCATGCATTAACGCTGGTTGCTGTATTTAAGTTTTACTGTTTTTATTTAATTAAGAAGAAAAACAGGAAAAAAGAAAACATCTGGAGGTATTTAAGACTGCTCTGAACTCTGCAAGCCAAACTTCTCTAAGCTTCCCCGCCCCCCCCCCTCCCCCCCCTTTTTTGATACTTCTCTCTCTTGCCCTTTGGTTTTTCTGCTCGCTAAATGACAAAATACAGTACAAAGAAATTAAATGCAAGAATTCAGTTGATGGAGTCATGCTGATGCAGTACCAAGATTAAGAGATGAACATGTGAAACTTGCATAGGCAAACATTTAAGATGAATTAAATTTATGAATCAGCACATTTGCAATATTTGTAATTTCTCGATTTTTCCAATATATACTTCTTTTGCACCCTCTTTATAAAATCTACACAACAGTCAGCCTTTGTGGATGAAAAAGAAAAGCTGTTTATGGAACTCCTTAATCAGCAAGGTTCAAGGTTTCCTCTGCAATATCTTGTAGTTCTTTTGCATTATTAAATAAGCATTGAAAATGCAAGCATTCTAGCAAAATCAGTTTAACAACACTAAATGACCCTCCTACTCAGTACAGTTTCTGCAAGTCTCTGCCGAAAAGATTATTCTGCAGCTTCCAGCAGAAAAACATTCACTGAAAGCAGCAGACCTGGAAAGACAAGTTTCCCTCCTTCCACCACAGGACTAGAGAATTAAATGTAAAGCAAGGATAACCAAGGTGCAGTTGGTACTTCACAGATAACAAGTGTTTGAAGGACAGCAGTTCCACTGAATTCCCATGCATTTCCTATTTGTGAAACTGTCCATACCTTCCACTGGGGCAGGCGTAGCAGGCGTGGCACGTTAGTTAAGCACCCAAGAATCCAGGCAAGTTCTGCATGCTCAGGAACCTGGAAGTACAAAGTCAGAATCTATTTTAATCTTCTGCATTTATATGCATATTTTTGCAAAATCAATACAGATGAATAGTTTCGGAGATCAGAAAACCATTTATTTTTGCCTATTATGTTTTTCAGTAAGGTCAAGTGAGAAGCTAATGGAAAGCTTTGGACGCTGCATGGATCGAACGCACTACACTCAAGCAGCATAGCAAGGCTCTTGATCCTATCCACTCGTATCCTACAAAAGAAAGAAAATGCTTTGCCAATAACAGAATTAAATGTACACCTAAACTACCCAACTGCTAGCCACCGTGCCACAGCCTCCCTGTGCTTTGAGATAATATATTAATAGCTACAAAACCGCTTTGCCTTTCTCATTTCCAAGCCAATAAGTTACCCAAGCTTAATTTTTTCTGCATCAGGGCTCTGAATGCACTGATTTCCCTCAACTGTCCTCACCAGCCTCACCCATCCTCCCCGCCTGTGGTCTCAGGAGCCCCATTTAAGCTCAGGGCAGAGTGCTCCTAGCTCTTGCCTGAGCTACATTATGCTCCAAGAAGCCTGGCAGCATAGTAACCACAGGTCCTTCTCAGAAACTTGAGCTAACAGCCAGGGAACAAGAAGAGCTGGGCTGCTGCAGAAGGCTGTGGCTGTAGACAGGGACAAGCCAGGCAGGAACAGTTACCTCCCTGACCAGGACAATGTCCTGCAGTGTTTAATCAGGGCAGGGGTGGTGGTGGTGACAGTCCGGGGATCATCAGACCTAGCAAGGTAACCAGTCACATCTCGGATCAACCCAGGAAGCCCAGCGAGAAACTGGGGCAGCAGGGACAGGGTTGAGCACAGGTACACTCGGGTGCTTAGGTGAAGACCGTGGGCCTGAGCTTAAGTGGAGGTCCTGGGGCACTGGGCAGAAGGTGGAGGGTCCGGGTGAGGCTTCTCAGGGCTTTGGGTGCATCAACAGGTCTGAATGACCCCGACCTGTCTGCTAAAACAGGGGCAACAGCTGAAGCCCAACTACAGTACAGCCTGAACTGTGGGGAGGTCTGTCCCTCAGTTCTGCAGCCCTATCAAAACTCATACTGATCTGCGGGTGGAAGAGAAGGATCAGGCCTCCACGTACCCTTGGCTATGTGCGTGGTTTGAAAAGATGAGAGAGAAAAGAAGATCCCATTGAAGCTCATACAGCAAGCTCTTCATTCAACATTCTGGGGAAACTGCAGTGATAGCGGAGTTCTAATAGCTCCAGAAAGACATCAGACAGTCACTGTCCCCGCTGAGCTAAGAGGAAGACTTTCTACAGGCAGAGACAAGAAACGTGCTGTGCAACAACCTCTGCTGGATGAGCCCACGTTTGGCTTCTTTACAGACATTCTTCAGCTTTGCCATTTCCAATATTCATTTTAGGATCAGTAAAAGCAGCAAGCATTGCTGATGCATATGCTGGTCATTAATTAAATATTAATTAAGTCAATATACAATTAATCATAGAATTATAGAATGGTTTGGGTTGGAAGGGACCTTAAAGACCATCCAGTTCCAACCCCCCTGCCATGGGCAGGGACACCTTCCACTAGATCAGGTTGCTCCAAGCCTCATCCAGCCTGGCCTTGAACACTCCAGGGATGGGGCATCCACAGCTTCTCTGGGCAACCTGTCCCAGTGCCTCACCACCCTATGAGGGAAGAACTTCTTCCTGATATCCAATCTACACCTCCCCACTTTCAATTTACACCCGTTACCCCTTGTCCTGTCACTACAGGCCCTTGTAAAAAGTCCCCCCCAGCCTCCTTGTAGCCCCTTCAGGCACTGGAAGGTGCTATAAGGTCTCCCCGGAGCTTTCCCTTCTCCAGGCTGAACCCCCCCAACTCTCCCAGCCTGTCCCCGTAGCAGAGGGGCTCCAGCCCTTGGAGCATCTCCGTGGCCTCCTCTGGACTCGCTCCAACCGGTTGATATCCTTCTGATGTTGGTGCCCCCAGAGCTGGACGCAGCACTCCAGGTGGGGTCTCACAGGAGCAGAGTACAGGGGCAGAATCACTTCCCTTGACCTGCTGGCCACACTGCTCCTGATGCAGAATTACTATTACTAATTAATTAATTAATTACTACCTAATTAATTAATCAATCCTATTACTAAGTAATTAATTTACTATAAAATAACCATCAAAAGAAAATGGTGATCTATGTCCTGCCCTTTGCTTACGTGTTCGATTCACTCTGTTCAACACTGGCAGGGGTGCATGTTTAAGAGCATGCTAACCACCTCGAAGATGTTCAAAGCTTCATGGCTGCAACATGACGTAACAACCCAGATGGAAGTGTTTGATAGCACGTAAGAATTACTAGCACTGTTAATGGCAATTCCTTTGCTGTCACATTTTACATGTAGTCATTTCCTAGCGCACAGTCATTAGACTGTTTTGGTTGTCAATGTTTTATAGAGGTATCTGACCTCAAGACAACAGCGTGGCAGTTAGAGATGTGAAATATTCCAGGTTGATTGTCTTTCCCTTCTGCCTTTCCCACAGGCCTATTTTCTTTTTTCCTTTCTTCTTTCAATTTCCTCATGCTTATTTGACCTGAGATCTTCTGTGCACAGGACAAAGTGCAGCAAGATGCACCAAATGTACCTTCTGCAAGATACAAAGAGTAAACCGAACGTTATAGAAAATACTAAGCTCAAGACCCCAATTTCATTCTGAAGAATCACCATCTGGTTCAAAGTGGCTTCTCATTCCTTTCTTCTAGTCACGAATAGAGAGGAGATGGTGCTCTGTTGCACTTGTGTTGACAAGGACTCCCTTTAAAAGCTATGCCGTCATTGATCCAGCTCTGTCAGGCGTTGCTTCCACAGCCAAGGCTGCACGTGTGTTTCACTGCATCAGTGGCTTTGACATTACATCAGTTACCAAAACACCAAGTGATCGAAACAGCATTTGTTGAGTTTAATCTGCAGTTCTGGGTCCTATCAAGTTAGACTCACTTCTGATCCTCAAACACATAGAGTCCTTTTCCTAAGTAAGGCTGGAGTGGTGAATACCGTGAAGAAAAGCCTGATAAAAGGGGGAGAAAATATAAAAGAGTGCACAAAAGGGTAAAAATTTCAGTTGTAAAAAACTTCAGTCCTGGTGCCGAGTGAGTTAACATTCATCCCCCACACTGCAGTATGTTGGTCTCCGATTCAGGAGGTACTAGCCTTAACCCACAAATCATTTGTCAGACTAAACCATGGTTTAAGCTACTGTGTTTTACTTGGCAAGAGGGATAGGTAATTGCTGCATGTGGTTGGTCACTGTGCATCAGCTCAAATGTGGTTACTCATTAAGCTACAGTACTCCATCACTTTGATTGGATAACTGGAAGAAGTGAAGGCGTATATGATACCAGTAAAATAAATGCCCGGACTACTCTTCCTTTCTGGAACTGGCAATAGCAATGGATCACAATTAGGAGCAGCCGTTCTTTCAGACAAACTCAGTCAGCCTCTTGCCCAAGTCCATTTAAACTTCTGAGAAAATGTCATCATTAAACAACCAAAACATAAGAATGTAAGAAATAATATTGTAGCCTAGGACTCTGTTTCCAGGAGTAGCAACAAGAGATGGTATTTAGGGCAAACACATGAGCCTATCGCTTCCTACAGCATCTTCCCCTCATACTTCTCCAGCATCCACAACTGTTGTACTAGGGAATATCAGAAGGCATTGTTCCTGGCCCCTGTTAACATCCATGCTCTCCATGAATGCTCTGAACCTGCTGACACTGCCCACTTCACAACCACATGCAGCAACAAGCTCCAGAGGTTCAAACCTGATGTGTAAAGCACTTCCATGTATCGACTAAACTAGTTTTGAGTGCCACCTGTTTCTTGTATTGCACAATTCAGTGAACAATTCCACATTCAGTTTATCCAGTGCTTTTCCGATTTTGTAAACTTTGATTGCGTCTACAACTCAGCCTCTTTCTCTTCGAACTGAAGCGTCCCAGACTTCTAATTTTTTTCCTTTTAAGGCATCTGCTCTAGCCCTTGTAGCATTAATTCCCCTTCTTTGTATCCTCTCTAATTCACTACTTCCTTCTTGAGATGGCAGACACTAAAGCTCTTCCCAATATTCAAGATATGTGCAAAACATCACCTCTGTCTTGTTCTCAGTACCCTTCCTGGTGACATGGTGATGTTGATATAGTGCTGGTTTTTTTGGAAATCGCTTGCACTGACCCAGTGATTTCAGAGAATTGCCAGTGATGATTCCAAGACTTTTCTCCTGCATTGTGACTCCACTCAATACTGTTTGAAGAAAGGTTTGATTACTTTTACCTAGATGCTTTACTTTGCATTCAAAGCTCCTCTTCCAGTAATTTGCTCACTCACTGTTTTACGAGTCCTTTTGGAGTTCCTTTCCTTGGTATAGCAGTTGACTACCCAGAAGAACCTAGCATTGCCCACAAACTTCTGTTCACCATCTTCTTCAGGTCAAGAATGAAGATGCTGACCAGAATTGCTCCCAGCATGAGTCCCTGAGGGACGTGATTACTGACTGTACCATTTTAAAAAAAGTGATCACTATACCCTATTTGGCTTTCAAATTTAGTCAGCTGCAAGACTAGTGATGAACATTTCCTCCAATACATTTTTTTCAAAGTAAGAATTGATACAGAACCTTGTCAAAGGTTTTTAAAAAAATTCAAATCCAGGTATGCCCATTATCCATGTGCTTAATGACACCCTCATAGAGTTTAGTGAAACAGGGTTTCCCTTCAAAAAAACCACAGTGACTCTCCAAAGAGACTTACTCATGCACTCAGCATCCTATCCCCTGCTGAAGATTCTACTAGCCCCTCGGCACAGTGACCATCAGTGGTGGCAGACTGCACACTGTGGTCACCCGTTCTGCCATTTCACATCTGAGTTTTTTCCAGACTCCCAGCTGACTGCCACCTATCTGGTGTCTAAACGGTCTTTACCTAAGGTTCTGTAAATTTACAGTAAACTGACTCAGCATTGCTGA